TTGGTTAGACAGGAGCTGCCCTTCCTAAACCTGTGCTGGCTGGGTCTGATCCCTTGTCCATCCTGTAGGTGCTGTGTGATTGCACTCAAGGTGATCTGCTCCACAACCTTGCCAGGCACTGAGGTCAGGCTGACAGGTCTGGAGTTTCCCGGGTCCTCCTTGCAGCCCTTTTTGTGGATCAGCATGGTATTCGCCAACTTCCAATCATCTGGGACGTCCCCAGTGAACCAGGACTGTTGGTAAATGATGACGAGTGTCTTGGAGAGCTCTTGTGCCAGCTCCCTCATCACCCTTGGGTGGATCCCCTCTGGTCCCACAGACTTGTGAGGATCCAAGTGGCTCAGCAGGTCTCTGACTGTTCCCTCCTGGATTACAGGGGGCTATTTGGCTTCCTGTCTCTGTCTATCAGCTCCAGAGGCCAATTGTCCTGAGGACAACCTATCTTACTGTTGAAAACTGAGGCAAACAAGGTGTTAAGTACTTTAGCCTTTTCCTCATGTCTGGTGACTGTGTTCCCTGCCATGTCCAACAAAGAATGGAGGTTTTCCTCGCCCCTCCTTTTGCTACTGATGGCGACTACATCACAGCTTTCCTCAGACACCCAGTTTGTGCGTAGATTGTTGCTGTACACAGTGCAGCTTGTGTCCAGACAGAGTCCCTCAGAACAGGGATCCCAAGAACATGCATGGGAAATGGCATACATGGCATGTGTCTGTGTGCTGTGCAGCAGAACCATGTGGACTGCGCTGCATAGCACATCACGTGTTTTGGCAATAGCAGGTGGAGGCTAAATTTGTGTAGAAGCACTTTCCAGATTTGTTCCCTGACATACAGCAAATAATGGATTTTTCTTAAATGATAGAACTAAGTTCAGTATTTAGAGAAAAAGAGAAGTATCTTGCATGGAGGATTCTCTGAATATCTTAAGAATGTGTGTAACCATAATCTTTCCACCAGAGCATTTAAAAAAACTATCATAAAATTTTTGGTAAAAACTTTATTTTTTAAAGGGTGAGGGTAATCAAAGTGTTTCCTAGAATACTTCCCTGCTCCCATAAGCCTTAGCCAAAAATGGAGGAAGAACTGATTCTTTGTAGACCTTGACAGGCTTACAAAACACAGATAATCTAAAAACTTCAATAATTCAAAGCCTCTTAGGCTCCTTCAGCCTTATGTGTTTCCTGAGGAAGCATTCCTGAACCTGAGATTTCAGCAGTGTGGAATTCTCAAATTTTGAATTCCTACAGAGTGAAGCCCTTCACAACAGCGCCTTTAGCAGTCACCAGACAGTTATAAAGATATTGCCACACAAACACTTGTAGCTGGGATAATGTTTTCAGGTGTAGAGGAGCAACTTGTGTAAACAAATATATACAATGTCCTCTATCCCTGTCTAGCCTTCAGACAAAGAGAAGTTTCAAGTCTAGGCTTTCAACCTGGAAAAAAACCCTCAGGCTTTTAGATCATGGTTTACATACCTGCTGTTTCTGACCTAGGTGGAGATATTGCATTAGAAATAACTGGGGTATAAGGATATTTCAGTTCCTTCCAATTCAGTCATTAGAAGACTAGAAAAGTTGTACTTGTAAAATTAGGTTTAACTTCAACTCAGAGGCATTTATTTTCCTGGAACTTCTGTAGAACTCAGTATATTGAGTTGATAGCAAAGCTGATTTGCAAAGATAGTATAAAGCCTTTACCCTCTCCTTCCTACCAAAAGGTACCACTGCCATAAAGGTCACACCTTATGTGGACGGAAACACTAAGAGGAAAAGGGACATAACAGCTCCTAGTGAAATGTAGAGATGGAAAAGGCTAACAAATGTAGATGCTACAAGTGGTAGCATAAAACAGGAATTAATGCAAGCACTGGATGTTACAACTGAACTAAAAAAATAAGCATTGAAGTGTCACAGTGCCACTTCTTTTTCCATTTCCCCTTCAGCTTTAATAAGAAGGAATTTCTAAAGAAAATAGATCCCACTAGGCCAATTACTTAAAACATGTCAACACTGTCTAAACAATTCAACTAAATGGGAACATTTGGTTACTTGATTATACCCTCTTTCTAATTTAGAACTCAGGCAAGCAGAAAATGATGCTCTACAATAGGTTCCTCTTTACAGGAAATAAATATATTGACCAAATCTTTTTAGGGGGGCATGATAAATGTACATCAAACTACTTCCAGGTACACATCTTGCAGCATTAGCATCTAGAGATACAACTACAGGATCTGTAGCTATAAAGGAGAAATGTCAGTCAGATTTCAGACTCAAAAAAATTATTTTTAATATAAAGAATCATCCCAACACACACTTTAAACTGAAGTCCTTTATCCAATTCTAAAGCTACCTGCAGATTCATGGTTCTGACTTCAGGGCAGTTTCTAGATCAAGTCTTGAAGCTGATATGATTTGAGCTTAGATTTGGCCCATTGTGCATGTATATGAAGTGGCACTACTGCTTGGAGAGGCATATTTATCCAGAGAAAAGCATTTGAAGCCCCAGAGAGGCTTAACAGCTCCCACTCTCTCCCCCATATCTTTCAGAAAGACGCAGGTACCTGCACATACCCATGCCTGCTCTTCTGCAGCATTGGTAATTTTGAGTTTTTCTTAACTTTTCTCACATTCAGAAGCAAGCTTTGGTTTTGTAATTACTATTAGAATTGACATCAAGGGTAATCAAAATCAATTATCAGCTCTGAGATGGGAGGAACAAAACAGAGGAAGAACAGCAAAGCATCAACTGGGCGTATCATATTAAAAATCTGTAACAGGCAAATCTATGTCTCATTCTGACAAGTGAGGAACTCAGCATATCTGTCATTCCTTTCATCTTGCAGATGATTGTAGATCTTGACACATAATACTGCAACCACATCTTTCCACCAAATTTCTATAATATCTGCCAACATTTCATAAAGGTTCTAGATAAAAATGATGCAAAACTCATATTTTATAAACCTACTTAAGAACTCCATAGCTTTTAAACATTTTCTTGCTTCATTTTACAATGACTTTTTAATTAGTATGAAGCCCTGTTCCTTTGCCAGGAGATAAAGAGTGCCAAACACACCAGATTGAGGAGACTGGAAAACAAACAGGTGGGAAAATTAATAATAAGTATTCCTATTTACATTTGCTATAAAAGAAATCTTTGTGTTAGAGGAAGCTAGATAATATATGGCATGCCATCTGGTTTGCCTACAGATGGGACAATGAGATTTGCTGATCACAGCTCATCCTAGACAGCCATTATCACCCAGTTAACCCAGTGTTTGAACAGTATCAGCCCATGGACAAAGAAAAGCAGAGGCAGAGCAAGACTGCTTCAGCTGGCAGGGACAGGAAGCAGTGGTGCTGGTAGTCACACCTGCAGGTTCAGCTAGGATTTTGATGTACTGCTTGATTCCCTGTTTTTGCTAAACTTTCATAGAAGCATCTATAAATAATGCTTTCAGCTATCTTCTCTTAAGGAGGAGATTCTGATTCATGCTATTGAATGGAACAGTTCGCACAAATGTGTTACAGCAAGTACTCAGCATGATGCTTCCAGCTTTTGCACAACATGGGCAGAGCATCCCTTTGGCATAACAAGTAACATGGAACAAACATGCCATCTTCTTGTAGTATCAAGCAGAGATTCCACTCAGATACATTCAATTGTCCAAAAGACAGTTGTCCAGTCTGTACTAGTCAGTTAAGCTTATTGATTCTCTCATAAATGGAAAGATTGAAATTCTCTCATAAATAAGAGCAATTTGGTGTAGAGTTGTACAGGTAACAACGTAGAGAAGGTGGGACACAGTCTGGAGTTGCCTCTTTTCCCTGGAGGACTTTGAATGACTACGTCCTTAGTGCTTACAAAGGAAATGTTAGGCAACTCAAGATCCTATTTAGACCAGAATCAACCTAAGGTTCTCAGTTATTACTTTCAGAGTGATAAATGGCCATTCTCAGCTTATATAGACCAAAAAACTCCAGATGTTGACAGGGAAGGTGCTCAGTAGGCTCCATGACACTTTCTATAACAATGGTAAGCAGAAGAGTGTGAAAGACAAAAAGTTGTTTTCTTGGACAATCTGAGGCTGGGCAACAACTCCCGCTAAAAACAGGCATCACAGCATCATGTGTGCAACATGTTTCTGACCTTATCTGTCCTGACAGAAGTCCACAGTAGAGCATATCTTAAAATAAATTTTAAGGAAGCCTAAGAAACATAGTGAACAAATCATACCAACTCTGAACAAAATCCTCTCACAAACACAGTTCTCTCATGGGAACTGCATACAAGAGACATGTGGACCACACATGGCAAACATTATTCATATTACTCCGAGCACTCCTGGAAGGCTCTCAGATATTAAAATAACTTGTTAAGGAACAAATCACTGAGGTTAGCTTTACTTAAAAAAGCCTTAGACTGTTTGGATGCTGACTGACCCCTGTGGGATTAAAAAAACCCACTTTTATGGAGACATCTGGACATTCACATAACACAAGATAATGTAAGTTTCAGCCATTCCAAGTTCTGCTACTGTGATAAAGTTTGCTCATTTTAACACTTGAGGAACAAAACAGACAGCATAATGTATATCTAGATATGGTTAAAAGCAACATGATGAAAAATTAAAAGATGACCCTCACACATGGTATCTCAATTTTCCCATGAAATATAGAAACACTTTCTGGTATCTTAGAAGTTATCCTCCACACTACCATGTTGCTGGTTTCAGTGGTATAAATAATATAAATTAAACTGAAATCACAGCAAACACGATTATTACAATTAATTATATGTAACACATTTTAAAGTATTATTGTCTTTCCTGAATTAAAAAAACCCACAACATTCCTATGCCCCTATTTGGGTATAGGAATGCTCAAGCACTGTATTCGGAAATAAGTTTTCCAAAATAATTTACACTGTCACAGCAGAAAAGTGATAGCACATATTCTCTCTGATATCTACTATGAATTCCAAGTTTTACTTACCAATCCTGCACAGCGTTGAAAGAGTCTTCATTTGTGATGTCATACATTAAAATGAAGCCCATTGCACCCCGGTAGTAAGCTGTGGTAATTGTTCTGTATCTCTCCTGTCCTGCTGTGTCCTGAAACAATAACAAACAAAATTTTTACACATTGCAAATAAATTGAAAAATTATTTTTTCTTTAATAGAAATAAAACTCTGAGAACAGTTATTGTACAACTCTGCAATCCTGAGAAAAACAACAAAAAGAATTCTACATTGGATTACAATAAGAGGGACACACTGATTATGTCATGAGGTTGAGAGTGGAGAGAAGCAGAAGGGCATGGCCCCCTGTCAGGCCCTATATCCTGAGTCATCATTGATTCATGTTATTCAATCTGAAAGTCAGGCAAGAACCTTCTTTCCTGCCCTGTACCTTCCCAGTCTGTCAGTGGTAAAATCTCATGTGCTGGATAGAATGCTGAAACAAAATAGCATCCTTAAGATCTTCACTATAAGACCAGGATGGTTCCTGAAATCAGGAAACATCCTGACCAAAAAGGCAATGTCTGATTGTCCTGTTCTTGTGATTTTAAGCCACTGGTGCTCATGTCAACTTTAGCACCAATACAGCTTTTTGCTTACTTAAAAAACCCCAAAAACTAAAAACCAAACAAACAAAAAACCCAAACAAAAACCCCCAACCAAAAAAAAAGACAAAACCCACCAAAACAACCACACACTCACACACAAAACACAAAAAACCAAAACCAAACAAAAAACCCCACAAAACCAAAAACCCACAACTCTCTCCACCAAAAAAATAAAACCCCCCACAAAAATACCAAACTCTGTATGGCAGTGTTTTTAAAATGAGGATGATATCTGAACAAAAAAAAGGAGTATACTATTAGTCTCTTACCTCAAACCACTTTTCTTCCTCAGTCTTTGCAACTCAATCAATTGCCTTTAAAGAAATATAAGTTCTCCTTTCTCCTACTCTGTGCTTTACTTACTACCATATAAAAGTTTTTCAGGGTAGGGACTACTTGTTAATACATTTATATGCAATGCCTAGCATAATTTTTTGTCTACATAAGAGAAGACTGAGATGGAATCTCATTAATGTATATAAATATCTCAAAGGTGGGTGTCAAGAGGATGGTGCCAGACGCTTTTCGGTGGTGCCTAACAACAGGATGCGGAGCAAGGGCCATACACTAAAACAAAAGTTTCATCTCAACATAAGGAGGATGGCAAAGCACTGGAACAGGCCTCCTAGGGAGGTTGTGGAATCTCTGTCTCTAGAGACATTCAAAACCCAGCTGGATATGTTTCTGTGTCACCTGCTCTAGGTGACCCTGCCTTGGCAGGGGGATTGGACCAGATGAACTCCAGAGGTCCCCTCCAACCCCAATCAATTCTGTGATTCTGTGATACCGTCACCTATGTCTGCACAAAAATTGAGAAAAAGCAATATCTGAAATACAGGAAACACATAACTATTTCCAGCATACCTATTTAGTATTTTTAAGCCATTAACATTAAAAACTTTAGATGAGACATATGTAACATTTCAGTGCAATCCTGTAACTCACATATTTATATCTGTGCATATTTAATTTTAACAAACTGAAAAGTAATATAATTTCTGATTTTTTTAGTAGACAGGAAATAGTTTACTTAACAAAACAATTAAATTTATTGAATTTACCTTCCTATAGAGTAAAAAGAATAAAAAATGGCAAACATATTTGGTGTGTTTTCTGAGATAGGTCCTAGGCTAGTAGTAGTCTCTTGTGAAAAACAGAAAAATAGATTAAGCAGGCCTCCTTCTTTACACATATATAATTCATCTTATAAACTGATAAAATAAGGAGATTTTACACACAATAGAAAACTTTTAGATTAAACAAAAAATATCCAAGGTGTTTAGTGAATCCAAAAAAGGTGAAATAGATAATTGCTGTTCATCCTGGATTACAACAGCTGCTACTTTGATGTGGTTTCAGAGATTCAAGATGAAAAGCTGAAGTAGAAAACAGGTCTCACAGGAAGTTAGGTCATGTCTTTGTGAGAAGGCCAGACAAACTTAAACTTTTCTACTTATGCTCTGAGCTGGCTGAGACTGTACCAACTGTTGCCTGGAGGTTGGATAGCTGCACCCAGATTTTCTTGTGTTACTGAATATTAAGGTATTAAAACTTGCACTAAGCCTATCCATATTCTAATACTCAGAGGTCAGTTCTTTCTCAATAAGTCAGTTTGACAACGAGACAAAAGTATCGTTGAAATGTTGAGTAAAATGATCTATTAACAGAAATTAGAACATCATCTGCTATTATTTAACAGAATTTCTTTGTATTTCATTTATGAAAGAGGTTTACTCTCACTTTTTTTTTTTTTTTTCAGCTTCATTTATTTGGTTTGTTATTAGAGAAAATGTCTGGGAGGAAAAAGGGAAATATGGCCTATAGCACACATTCAGCCTTTCTGTACAGAAGAGAGATGACTTTCAAACAAGTTTTATCAGCATCTATCAGCTTGGTTTTCAGTCCGAGGCATGTTTGATTAGTATGTACAACAGTATGAGAAGTGGGAGCCCACTGCTACCAAAGCAAATCTTACTTTGCTACATATGATTTCTACTGAAGCCTTCCTGCATGTAAGAGTGAACAGCCATAGCAATAAAGACATAAGTCAGGGATGCTTCATTTCTGAGACACCAACTATTTTCTGCGCAGTATTAAAGCTAGGTAGGGTGGGCTTAGGAACTCTTGATTACAGAAGATAAAAAATGAGTGTACAGGAAGACAAATCAAGATGAAAAGTTCTTAAATGATTTTACACAAAGTGTAAGGAAGCTGCAGATGAAGATCCAAACACTGACTGACTTTGGGACAGAAGGTGCTCTTCTGAAGCTAGGCATTTGATTCGTGTCAGTCTGAGAAGGAACCACATATTTGGGATTCTTCTCAAATTCTAATTAATAATTCTAAATTCATAGGTAATGGTATGTGAATAGGATGCTTAAGAAAAAGACTTTCTAAAGTGATATTTCAGTATATAACAGATGCTATATTCATGCTATACTATTCATGACTATGAATAAAGTGGAGTTTATTATTTTCAAATATAGATACAGATTCCTGTTGCTATTATTTTATATTCACTTGGTATAAGGAACTAATGAACATTTTAATAGGCCTAATTTATGCACTGTTTATGATCATGTAAGAAATAAACCCAAATATCAGTAACAACGTGTCAAAACTTTTCTGTTCCACACATTCATAAGCACCTCCTTTGTACTCAGACCAGAATATATGCGTAAGTGCCCTAAAGATAGATCCTTCTGTATGACTGTTAAGGAACTAAAATACCTTTTGACAGCAGAGAGAGCACAAAAGAAAAATCACATAATTTAAATATTAAATATTGTATTTTATTACAATTATTTCATTTATTTGAAACAGGTATTGCAACAACGCACATGGTCTTTCTGTTTATTAGCTTTTATTCTTATAGAAGAACTAAGCAGAAAAGAAATTATTTCCATATTTTATAATATTTATAGTTGTAAATCACTATAGCTGTAAATCACCATGTATCCTCAGGTATTGTTATATACTTATACTTCAAGAAAACCTTTTCCAGTTCAGGTATAGTTACTGTTTGCTGTTATGTTATCATAGTCCATTTTGCAAGACCACAGAATTCATATGATGACTGTCTTCTTAGATTTAAATTCTGAAATATAACATATGTATTTGCACTGACTGATGTTTATTTCTAAGCAAACTAAGTAATATAAGCCTGAGAAAGAATAAAATTTTGCCTATTACTGACTGGCATTTTAATCAAAGCAAGTAATTTCCATCTTTGACAGGCAGAAAACAAGACACATAAGTCATTTGGGGGCCTTTTCCTTCATGTAGTTATTGCCTGGTAAGAACAGATGATTGCTGATTAAACAAGTAGAGTGGAAAAACAGAGGGGAATGAATGAGAGTGAGGGAATGCTTTATGAAAAGTATCACAGACAGAAGACAAAAAGAGGTATTTTAAAAATCTTAGCCAAAGCAACAAAAAAAATTGGTCTCAGGAGCTGCAAGAAGTATTTTCAAATCTTATAATCACTTCCATAAATTCTGGCTTCTGGTTAGGTGATCCTATCTTTTGAATATTTTTTAGTAGGAGTTAGATTTTAAACATTAAATCACAGAGTTATGAGGTCTTAGTGGTCATAGTACTTTAGAAATTACCCAGTTTCTAAACATTGCACACTGGCTAATTGCCTACAATAGTCAACTATTTGGAAGACTTGCAAAATTTTCCATTGTGTGCTCTGATGTCTCTAGTATGTTTCGTTGGGCTTTTTTTTGTTAATTGATATTTTTCACTTATAATTGAAATTAGTTATTTTAAAACATTTTCATGTTCCAGATTCTACTATGCGTAATTTCATAATAGAAAAATTCATTGCTTTTTTGCCAGATATTCAATAGTTAAAAGGAACACGAAAGCTTTTCCACCAGTAAAGACCTCAAATAAGCATCTACATCTATAGGCAGGGAAAGAGGAATGGTAGAGGTATAGACTGTGTGAAAAATATCTGATTCTGGCTCGTGATGAACACAGTAATCTGGTATGTATTTGGCCAACTCTCCTTTATCATAATGTATCAAATTGTATTTAATTCTAGATTACCTTGGCTGTTCATTTGAGTTAAACTTAACACTGTGAAATTTGACAGTACAATAAAAAAGAGAAAGATATGTTATTTTTACAGTAACTACAGTAACTACGTTTTTCCTGTTCTCCTCCTTTGAATCAATCCCCTAATAATGTTATAGGAAATTTCCTACAGATTCTTATTGTTACTGTGGAACTGCCATATCATTGGAGTCCTTAGTGTATGGGGAATGCACCAGCTGCTGACAACAATGGTCCCAGAGGAACTGGGAGATATCATGTAATAGCCACCTGTGCAAGTAGCAACACTTAAGGACAGCAAGCTTGCTGACTCAAGAAGAATCTGTGTTACATAAAGTGAAGAGTTTATGGGACTGGAAATTATCAAAATACAAAAGAAAGAAACCAAGGTTCTGATAGTAATCCTAAAATATTAACTATTTA